CATTTTGCTAAAAGGTGCTGAGGTGTTTACACAGGGTTTAGACAGGTATATTTGGCTACTTGACACTTGCTAAACTCTTGTTCTTACACTTTTTAGGGTTACAAGTGATTTTGATGTCTAAAACCTTGTTTATAGGCTATTTTCTGGTTTAGGCATCTGATTCATGCATGATTTGGTTATACCTTTATATACTATGCTTGCTTTTCATGCTTGTAAGTTTATTTTAGTGAATTAAGGCTGTTGAAGTTGGTAGTTAAACTGTGTTGTGGCTTCCTTTGGTTTTGACCTACCAAAACCCTAGTTCTTCATTATTTCAGGTGTTTTCAAGGCCTTATTGTTGATATATTGATATTCACATGCTATACTCATCTTGTTTATCATTTGAGCATGTTTGTATTGGTGATTTAAGGCTGTGGAGTTGATCTCTGAATTTTTGGGGACACGAATTTCCAGTTTTATCCCTGAAACCCTAATTATGCAAAATGTGCTTCATATGGTGCTGTTTGGAGTTTTATGTCGCACAACCACTCTTATCCTTTATGTATACTTGAACATTTTTGTTATTTAGTTGAATTATTATATTTGGTGAGCTGTGAGAGATTGCAGGGTCCTAACAAGGGTGCTGAGGATAGCGGGAGTGCTATTGAGCACATTATTGAGTGTTATTGAGCACATTATGAGCTAGTGTGTGTATTGAGGTTGTGAATACTAGTGTTTCAACTTGTATAAGGGTGTATGCTAAGTGTGAGACAAATGAGTGTGTAACTACATGCATGGAACTAGTGAAGCTTTTCTTGGCTGAGGCCAAAAACTAAGTTTTTTCCTTATTGAGAGTGTTTATCTTGTAAACCTTGTGACTCAGTGTATTTGACTTGCATTATTTTCATATTTGTGTTTTGAGATGATTTTAAATCAGACGAATTCACCCCCCTTCTTGGTCTAACACAAAGCCCTTAGGTAAGGCCATAGAGAAAAAGGACCAGTGATAGGATAATTCTTACTCTCTATAATCGCTAATAAGAGGCAAAAGATCACTCAGCCTTAATAGCTGTAACACTATGAATATTTTGCTTTGTAATCGCTTGATCTGCCAGAAGCCTATTTAATCACAAATTAGAACAAAATTGAACCGTGAGACCAATGAAACCAAACTGTGATGGACAAGTTCAATTCCATAGTTCTATAACAAATTATAATTCACTAGCATAATCAATGACAATCAAACCTAATCCATTTCCTTTGGCACTGATTATTGACCAATTTGATTAAATATTTTCTTTCCTTTTTTATTTCTTTTGGAGGAAGCAAAATAATGTAGTTTAATGGAGAACCTTAAGAAGGACTTCAAATCACACTCAGGATGGAAATCAGATTGCCAACTTTATTAATAGCACACACTATAAAGCGTTTCAAAAGGCAGTCGCTTGTTCCCGATTATTTATGACCGAGGAACGAAAAAGCATATCTAAGCTTCATGGACATATATACATTGTTAGGTATTAGATTTGGATGGTATGTTGGTGCACGTGATGACAACGAAAGGTTCTTGAGGGATGACTGAATTGAGAGAGAAAGAGATAGAGAGAGAGAGAGGAGGGCAAGGACATGTGTGAAATGTTACTAAAGTTAGGGCTAGGAATGTGTGTGTGTATATATATATATATTACATTTTTATAACATATAAATATAACAATTTAGTTTGGTTTGGTCGGGTCCAATTCTAAAGGACTTTATGCCAACCGCACCAAATTGTTAGAAAACTGGATTGAACCGACTAATCTGGTCTGGTTCGATATGGTTTTTCGGTTCCATTTTTTGTACGCCTCTACTACACATGCTATACAAGGTAATCTTAACTATAGATTTCTAAAAAAAAATAACATTAAATACCGAAGCAAATAATACTTTTATGTTGCGTTTGGTGTGCATGAATGGAATAGAATGCAAGTGGGGATGGAATGAGAATGGGAATGGAATGACATTCTCATTCTATTGTTTGGTCGTAAATATGAAATGTTTAGGAATGGAATGATAATAACCATTCTAGTGTTTGGTTGGACCAATTTAAAATTTTGAATTGAATTCTCCAAAATATCCTTCTTAGTAACAAATAAATTAAATTAACAAAATGACATTCTCTAATAATTTTTAAAAAATAAATGGTGGCAGTGGCAGTGACGGTGGTTGATGGTGGTGGAGGAGGAAAGTAGTAGTGGTGCAGGTGGTGGTATTGGAAAGAGGTGGTAGTAGTAGTGGAAGGCGGTGGCAATAGTGTGGTGGTGATAGTGGAATGAGATAATGGTGTAAGTAGCGGTGCTGGAAACCAATGGAAGTGACTGTGGTGGTGGTTGAAGGTGGTAGACGTGGCGGCGACGGTGATAGTGGTAGTGGTGGAAGGTAGATGCAGTGGTGGAAGGTAGTGGTGGTGGTGGAAGGTAGTAGCGGTGGTGGAGGTGGTGGTGGAAGGCGGTTGAAGGTAGTGGTGGTAGTGGAAGGCGGTGGCGGTGGCGGAGGTGGTGGTGGAGGAAGACAGTGGTGGTGGTGGTGGTGGAGGTGGTGGTGGAAGGCAGTGGCGATGGTGGTGGTGGAAGACAATAACGGTGGTAGAAGGTAGCGCTGGTGAAAGGTGGTGGTGGTGGTGGATGGCGGTGGTGGTGGTGGTGGTGGTGATGGTGGTGGTGTAAAGCGGTGGCAATGGTAGCAGCAGAAGGCAATGACAATGGCAATGGAAGGCAGTGGCGGTGGTAGAAGGTGGTAGTGGTGGTGAAAGGCGGTGGTTGTGGTGGTGAAAGGCGGTGGCAGTGGTGGTAGTGGTGGTGGAAGGTGGTGGCGGTAGTGGCGGTGGTGGAAGGTGGTGGCGGTAGTGGCGGTGGTGGCAGTGGTGAAAGGCGATGGCAAAGGTGGTGTTAAAAGGCGGTAGTGGTGGTGGTGGAAAGTGGTTGCGGTGGTATTGGTAGATGGTAGTGGCGGTAGAAGTGTAGAAAGGCAGTGGTGGTACATGGTGGCAGTGGAAAGAGGTGGGCGATGGTGAAAGTCAGTGGCGGTGGAAAGCGGTGGGCGATGGTGAAAGTCGGTTGTGGTGGTGGAATGCGATGGTAATGGTGGTGAAAGGCGGAGGTGGTTGTGGTGGAAGGTAGTTGTGGTTTTTGGACTTGGAACATAAGGATTTTTGGGGAAGTATATTTTTAAAAAAAATTACTTGGGAACGAAATGGCTATTCCATAAGTTTAGTTATGGAATGGATTTTCATTCTCAAGAATGGATTTTCATTCCAATAAAATGGCTATTCCCACTTTAAATTCCATACCAACCATTCCATCCCTGCACACCAAATGCAGCATTACAATAGAGGTATAAGAGTAAAAACAAAATTATTATTACATATTCATGTTCCTAAAATAAAAAACCATATTAGCACGAAAAGTTTGTGGCAAATTACAAAATAAATAAATAAACAAATAAAAATGAAAATGAAAAGAAAATTTTATGGCAATATACTTGTGAGTTGCACAATGCGAAATAGGTTATGTAATTTAGTTTAATAACACTTAGAGGGGGGTGAATTAGTGTAACTTGCTCATTTACCCAAATTTTTGCTTAAATTAAATTTACCGAATTGACAGTAAATTAATTAACCCACAAAGAAAAAATAAATTCAAGTAAAGTAAAGTAAAGTTAGAGTGACACTGAGTTTTTAGTAAGGAAACCTAGTTGGAGAAAATCATCCAACAATCGTAAAATCTCAAAGACTGCCACGCGGTCTCGAGCGAAACAATCCACTATAGATGAAGTAAAATATAATGGACTTCAACTTAGACTCGCACCCCTTAACTCTACCAAGAACCAACTTACTGATCGCCTCTGGTTTTGCGACTCCCCTATCCAAACATTCTCGATTTTAGGCTTACTCACTTGATCCCTATAGAAGGATTGCTGGTAATTCAACAATAGTCCGTGAATGCTTTTACCCCTTCAAAGTGTGATGTTCCCTCTTTTTATTCAAATCTTAATTCATGAAGATAAATAAAAGCTTGGCTTTTTTGAACAGTATCAAAAGACCTTCAATAATTCAAACTCCGACTAGATAGATAACAACATCCTAAATAACCCATGTGTATGGTATGTATGCTCTCAATTTGAAAAACAAACACTCAGAAAAATCTCACAAATTATCTCTCTAAGCTTGCTGAAAATTGTATTCAAAATTCGTAGACCCTAGGTGAGAAAAGGTATTTACATAGATTTTTGGAGACCTAAAATAAGTTTAATTCGTGCACAATTGTCTCACAAAAATCTGATAAAAAAGGAAACCAAGTTGGAGTAGGAAAGCAATTTCCAATATGGTTCAAGGCTAAATGTGACTGGTCTATTTTGGCAGTTTCAAACCTTCCAAAATAGATATTAAAAATCTTATACATGGACGACTATACATTTTGTGAAAAATAATTTTTGAAAACATCATAGGTGTCTAACCTTAAAAACTTACCAAAAATGAACAATAGATGTCCTCACACACTTACCTTGTCTAATATGTTGTTCTCATTGATTGAACCAGAATATGTTAACACGTTCCCTAATACTTCAATTCCACTTCTGTACTAGAGACTCAAAGTTGAACAAGAAAATTACAACTCGATCGGACTTATTTTGACACTGAAATATGCTAACATAGAAAGTTTTTATATCACAATATTAAGTGTTGCTCATGAAAAAATCTATGGGGTACAGTATGGAATCACATTAATTTTATGAACTCAATGTTAATTACTATATAAAGTCAATTTGTATGATAATTAAGAATTATACTTATGTTGCATTTAGAATTATCTATGTTTTAAAATTAAATTTGGAGTATATTAATTTATATAAAATTGAAATAACTTTTATGGAAAGGCAACATTAACAAAATTTTGTATTTAAAAAAAAAAAAAAAATTCCAAATACTAAAGTCCACTATTCTAGAGATGTGATTTGTTGCAATAAAGGATAGAGAAACTTACACAATAAACCACGGAGATAAGATTCACATTCCATCCAAGCTTCCAAGACGATATGTTCCTCTCCATCAGAACCGCCCATATTGCTGACTGTATGCTGCTAAAGAAGTACTGTAGAGTTGCAAGACGTAGTGTCGATGGATATTGTTTTACAATGTGTTCCTAAATGCAAAAATAAAAACTATATTGAAGAAACTTGCATCAATCTATTATATATTATTGTGACAAACACCGGCAAATCACATTCACGATTAACTAGCCATGTCAAATCTATGTAAACCATACAACACATAATACAAATAGATTTACATAGTTCATAATATGTACCACTTCTATGATGAAGACGGACCAAATAAAAGATGTGATATTGTGGTATCTCTTTTATTTTTTATTGTGGGAGGTGAGGGTTTGAGTCCTATTAGGGGTAACTGTCCTAATAGTGTTAAGAGTCCTATTACATACTATGATGGTATGGTGATTTCTTGCCAATGAAAAATAATATTAATGGAGATCTATAAGAAGTTTTCACTTTGCAAAGAAAATTGGAGATTAAAAGTTCTCAAACCCCAATCCTTCGTCTTTCTCTTTCTCGGGCTTTCTATGATTTCGTGTACCCACACTACAAACACGGGCGCAAATCCTCTGATGTGATTATCCCTACAGTACCCTGCTGTCCACTAACTTAAGGCCTTGGTTTGGCCACGTTTTACTTCAATTAATTGACACTAAGATTGTTTTGGCAATTACACCATCATTTATAGGTAACATTTCACCACCATTTTTAAGTAACATGATAGGAGTCTAAAAAGTAACATCACAGGTGTCTAAAAAGTAATATCATCATTTGTAAGAGGGTAACATCACCACTTAAAAAGTAAAAGTTGTTGACAGCTAAATACTTCATAATCCCCTTTAAAATCCGATGTTCTATTTTTTATAATAAAATTTACCTTAAAAAATATATAAATAATATGTTGAACTGAGTTAGATTTATGTATGACTATTAGTTTTTTAACACTATGTGAATACATTTTTTTTATGGTGAAGGTGGTGAGTGTGGCAATTAATATTAAACTTTGCCAATTTTTTTCTTTTGATGATGAAGGTGGTGAGTGTGACAATTAATATTAAACTTTGCCAAAAAAATTTCAAAGATATGTTAAATAATTTATACCTAAGTGTATTTTTTTTAATATTTGGAAGGGAAAAAAAAATAGATGTGGTTTTTTTCATTATTTTTTGAAACAACAAGTGTTTTGTTTGTTGTCTAAAGTTAATCCAAGTGATTTTAATTTTTGTTTAAATTCTTTAAATTAACATGTTAAAGTGTTCTTAAAAATACTTTAATTTTAAATTATAACATAAATGATATGTTGAATTGAGTTACATTTGTATGCGACATTATTTAGTTTGCATTATGTGCATATCTTATTTTGAGGGTAAAGATACTTATAAATGGTAATGAAGTGTTACTTATAAATGGTGGTGTAATTATCAAACACAGTCTTAGTATCTATTAATTGAAGTAAAACGTGGCCAAATACAGACCATTAACACTCACTACAGGAGACAGCATGGGAATCACACTAGAGAGGATTTGCGCCCCTACAAACACTAGTACCTCCAAGGATGCAAATCCTTTGCTGTGGATTCCCATGCGGTCCCTTGCAATGAGTTCTTATGTGATTTATAATTTGGTCATGTCATTCAGTACCATTTAACAATTGAGACCATGTTTTGCAATTACACCACCATTTATAAGTAACGTCACAGGAGTCTAAAAAGTAACATCACAGTCTAAAAGTAACATCACCATTTATGTACATACACCTTAATTTGAGGGTGAAGATACTTATAAATGGTGGTGAAATGTACTTATAAATGGTGGTGTAATTGCCAAACACAGTATGTTGAATTGAGTTATGTTTGTATATGACACTACTTAGTCTGCATTATGTGCATACCTTATTTTGAGAGTGAAGATACTTATAAAGGTAGTGAAGAAGGTTTTTAATTTTTTGTAATTGGTGCACCCAAACGTTGCCACAGGGGCATGGATGCACAATTCTTTAGAATCTTTTTCATTTCTTGGCGTATTTTTCATAAATATCTTTTGAAGATATTTTGCTTCAGGGGTATCTAAGAAAATATCTTTTGAAAGATATTTTCATTCTAGGGCGAATTCGCAGTTAACCCTTTTTGTAGGGGTCATTGTGCAATTAACGAAAGTTATTGCAAAATATCTCGTCTAGAGCCTAGATCCTCGTACGGGATTCATTTTCACATTTCATCGAGTCGTGGACTCTTAGAATTCCATTATGGTCGTTTTTCTCTAGTTTCAGAGTTTCTGGACCCGATTGCCGCCGAACTTGTTCGGGGCATAACTTTCTGCTCAGGACTCAGTTTTCAACCCTGTTTATTTTGTTGTTCATATTTTCTCATTTTAAATCTTTTTTGTTCATGGAGTTTTGCCGTTTGAGCGCGTCTGCTCAAAATCCACTTTTCCAGTCCCGGCGGGGCCCTTCCGGGGCACTTTTTGTGATTTTCTATAAATAGGGGGTTTGAAAAATTAAAACAGAATTTTCCTCTTCTTCCCCACATGTTCTGGACCAGATTTCACAGTCTTCCATGGCTTCCATCTTCTCTCTCCTCTTTTGGTTCACTTTTCTTTGATGAAAAGTCTTCGACCTTAACGTTTAATGTTTGTCTTGACGCCACGCATCTTATGCCCTTATTAGAATCCATTTCCGACGATTTTTTGAGTTCAGGTTTGGAGTCAAGTTGAGATTTTCATGGGGCTTCTTGCGGATTCTTGTTCACAGTGTTGTCCCCTACAAAACCTCTCGGTATTATCGAATTCGAAGCACTTTCGTTTCGGTGGGGATTTGAGATTTTCATCTCAAATTGAGGTAGGGGATGTTCTAGGTTTAAATTCTTGTTATATAACATGCTTGTGATGCTTATACTACTTGTTTGCATGATTAAATATAAAATTTAGAGATTTTATTATTTAGTTTTCTTGTACGGGATCTAATTTTCCCGGTTGTTCGTGACTTGGTTTAAATATGTAGCATGATATTATATTGCCCCATGATATGCTCATTGTCGTGTATTAAAATTAGAGCATTTAAATAAGTACTAAAGCTTTTATTTAATATTTATCTTGGGTGAAAGATTAATTCACATGGCCTTAACTAGCTTGTAATCAATATGTGTTAGCATATTAAATTAGGCCTTAGCATGCTCTCCCACATAGTTGAATTTGAAAGTAATTGGAGGTGTTTTGAAAATTAGTAATTATTAATTAATTTAATTAATTAATTTTCCCCGAGTGCACTATTCACTCTATTTGAATTCCGACTTGATATTCTTGATTTACATGCCATATGGCTTCACATATATTTGATTTAGAATATTCAGTTAGGTTTTGAAACCTTTTATTTAATTAAATTACATGTTTAAGATTTAATCCCCATGGTGATATACAACTTGGAATTGTATTGTGGTATGCTAGAAAATTAAGTTTTGCTACGATTGTTCACATGTATTAAATTGGAATTTATTGCATGAGAATTGCAACTTTTGTTTTATATTTAACTTTAGTGAAAGTTTAATTCGCATGGTCGTAAATTGAATGAAATAAATTTGTAATGTGATATTACATTAGTCCTTGGCATGTTTTCCAACATAAGTTAATTTGAGAGCATTTGGTTAAGTTTGGAAATCTAGAGATTTTAATTAAAAGAATTAATTAAAATCTATTTTGTGGTCCCATTAGCTTAATTAAGGTTTTAACTTGATATTTGTATTGGCCATGACTTGTTTACTAGTATATATTAATTTGGGACTATTTGAAGTTGTTTTAGAACCTTGGGATTTAATTTAGCATGATTTAATTAAAGTTCTACCTTCTTGTTGTATTTAAACTCATGAGCTTATGTTTTCAATATTGAATATATTGTTATCTTGCGTAATGATTTGCACACTTCATATTTAACATCATTCATGCATAGCGTGTAACGAATCGCACACTGAAGATTCGACATTTATCATATCATATTAGTTGTGGACTTAGAGCATGTATTGTATAGGTTTCCAAATTTGGTTGTGTTTGGTAGATAGTTGATTATCTTGCATATTCCTGTTGATATATGCGTTGTTGCACAACTTGTTAATTTTGAAAACTTGGGAATGTCGTTGTTTGGCTATGGCTAAGACGTGGTTCTAGTACGGGGGATAGTCCCTCTATGTAGTCTAGTGCGCACATAGGGAGGTTACCCATGGGCTAGTAACCCTAAAGTAACTATGTTGTCGGTCTGATCCGGCGTGACGTCCGAGTATTCACTTTGTTTGATTTCGCATTTCATTTTCAAGTTGATAACTAGATGATGTTGTAACTTGTTGTTTCTTATTTGTCGTTCCATTTTAAGTTACATGATGTTAACTTTGCGAAATTGTGCTTTATGCGTTGTATTGGAAGTTCCAATGTTAGTTAAATTGCATCGATATTGAAAATTGTGTTTTGATGTTCTAACAAAGCTTAGGATTGATCCTATTGATTCATTTATCACTTAGACGTTAGGTGGCATGACCCACTTCTGTTGTTTTCGTGCTTTAGATTTCAAGCTGATAGCTTTTAGAAATTGTATTTTGTTGCCTTGTATAATATGCTTTTATGTGGTTAGATTGCATTGAAGTTGTAATTTATGTTTTGATTGTTCAGCATGGCCTAGGATGATTCCTTGACTTATTTAGAACATAGACGTTAGGTGACATGATCACTTTAGTTGTTTCTGTATTCGAGATTGCAAGTTAATACCTTTAAGAACCTATATCTTGTTGCTTTGTATAACGTGCTTCCATATTGTTTAAATGGCATAGATGATGTGATTTATGTTAGAAACACTCTGAGGTAGCTTAGGATGCTCCCTGAGTCTCATTTCGATATAGACGTTAGGTGGCATGAACCCCTTTAACATGTTTCACCTTAAGGTGATAAATCTGTAAAATGCTAGGTCGATGTATGCTCATCTCCTACGAGTAGCTTTATGTTACTCACCCCTACGATACTGGGGCATATTTCAGGTACGAAGACTTGGTTCGTGAAGCCTAGCATTCCTTGGATGTTGTGTAACTTTCAAGTTTCCATTTCATGCAAATGT